ACAAACAAACAAACAAACAAAAAACAAACAAACCCAAAACAAATCAACACTCCCCTCCCCCCACCCCCACCCCCCCAACAAAAAACAAGACTGGAGCTTAAGTTTAGTTTTAGTAGAGGTTTTACGAGGGGTGAATGTCAACAGAGAAGTCCTTACAGAGAATCAGGCTTACTCTGCTCACCTCTCTAGCTTCAGCAGCACAAAGTCTGCTTCGACTATCAAGACACCTGGCAATAGCGGGTCTCAAGAGTGTGACAAACATACATAGGAAATTGAGGAAAAAATGACGATAATAAGGATTAGGAAAGAAAAAGCAGCAGTTCACTGTTGCAGTTCAGTGACAGCTATGAGCATGCCATTGATGAATCAGCCCATTTACAATTCTACTGTGCACAAGAACATGTTAATGCCCCCTCTTTGGGAATGGCCTAAAGACACTTCAGTCAGTAGCACTACCCTGGGTGTGGTGAAGGGGGTAGACAGGAGCATATAGAATCAACTGATACATATTTCAAAAGTAAGAAATGGTTATGAGGTTAGCACGGATCCCGTCTTAATGAATCAGGACTGTTGCTCAACATTAGTATGCACTCGAGACATACAAGCTGTAACAAAGTCAATATACGGCCGGTACTGACTAGTAGGTGGTCGGCGAGTTTTCTGATGTGGTTTGCTCCTCCATTTCTGTCAGACATCTATAATATTAATAATAATAATAAAAATAATAATAATAATGATAATAAAAATGATAATAATAATATTAATAATAAAATGATAATAACAACACAAAAAACAACGATACTAATAATAACAACAACAACAACAACAACAACAGCAACAACTACAACAACAACAAACACGTTTTCAAAAAATTTTGCAGAACGGGCGTCCTCAACGAGTTTAAAAAATGATAGAACTAAGTCTAAACTACAACAAACAATAATAAAAAAAAAACAAAAACACACCATCAGAGTAATAAAAGTACAAACTAAAAACCCAGAAAACATTTGTATTTCTTTTATTGTAACAAGAACAATTACTCTATAACACATAGATCTAGCTTGTTAAAAACAACAGTTATAATAAAATCCTATAATTTTTAAGAAGGCTTAATGTTACCAGTCAACAACATTGGCGAATTGTTAACATACGTTAACATAATACATGTACATTATTCCACGAATTAGGAGACAACAAAAACATGAATAAAAAAGAAAAAAAAAATTATTTGTT